TATATATATATATATATATATATATATATGGTATTCAGATAATGGACTTATTTAGTTGGTCTGAGGACAGATGGTTTTGAGGGTCGTGAGGCAAATATTTTGAATAAAATAAAGAGATAAATCAAATAAAATGGTACATACTGTATATGTGCTAAATCAAATCATCTCAGATCTACTTATAATGTCTGATTCTTTTTAAATGAAAATGTTGCTATTTGAAAAAATAATGGCAGGTAATGCGGTTAAAGTTTCGTTCCATGTCCAAAGGATCAATGTTTGAACATATTTCTGATGTTTTTGGGGTTAATTAAATACCTGAGGCATAAAAATCATTGCCTTGAAATGAGCTGCTTTGCTTGTATGCCTTGACAAGCAGTTACAGACAGAGGAGGCGTCTGAAGCTTCAGGGACACTTGAAAACAATTCCCAAGCCATCAATGAGCAAACAAGAAAACTCTCAGCTGTCTCAAGGTTGATGTGAAAAGAGTTTCAGGGTGTTGGGGAGAGTGGACGAGGTTACAGGGCAAGGAGAAATAGAATGTGACGAGGACAGCGAGAGACAGAAAGACAGAGAGGGAGAGACTGCATTTAATCTCACAGTCTTTTATTTTTAATACCCACAGGTTCTTTTGTTCTCCCTTTGATATTTTCCTGCCTAGATTTATTGCAATACACCAACAAAGCACAGAATCAACAAAATAAAATAATCAACGAAAAGTATGACTTGACAGCTAATTCCACATCAAAACAGCAGCTGTGGGGTGATGAGAGAGGGACGGAGAGGGAAAAGTCAAGCACAATGTCACAAACATACTGCTGAGGGGCTCCTATACAGAATATGACTAGCTCCTTCTTGCTTCTCTTTGAATACCACGCACAAGCTATCAGCTTGTTTTAGTTAGCGCATAAAGTAGGAATTAGGGGTTAGGCAGGGTGCCGTTGTCCTCTGAAATCCACAACAGAGCCTGTGACGTTCGGAACAAGAACCAACACACAAATCCAGGATCAAACTGGATCCAAACAAACAAACACCCTGAGGGACCGCTATAAAGCGCCTGATGTGAAACTCATTAGTTCGGCAACTAATTGTCATTCTGTGTGGCATGACAAGTGATGACAGTCTATAAAAACCCAGATGCACATTTGATACAGTCAAGTAGGCAGGTAGGACCATTTTATTTATTTATTTAGATTTATAATTAATTGCACTAATTTAACAAGTTTAATTAGCATCCCTACAAAAAAAAGTGCTGTCAATAGTGTCCCCAACACAAATACTGAGAAGCAACAGAAGCGTACAGCAATGAACAGAAGAGCTTGCTGCAGTAGATGATGTTGCAGGACAGGCTGTCTTTACTGAAGGCCTGTGCAGACACAGATGTGCCTCTGTAGACGCAGATGTGCCCCTGCAGCTTTATGAGCTTCATACATTTATAATCTTGTATTCTGTAACTGTAGTATGCCTAGTTAGCATATTCATGACTAAAGTTTATATCATCACACTTTGTCTCTAGTGCACACATTAGTGCCACCTAAAACAAACCCTAATCATCAAATTTTTTATTGTTTTTTAGTAAAGTTAAACCGAACAGTGGGTAATTTAGTGCAAAACATTTTTTATATTTCACAATTAAAGGCAAAATATTGTACAGTTTGTTATATTTACGCTATCATTCAAAGTTTTATGGTCTGAAAGATTAAAAAATATATTATTTTAAAATAAAATAAAAATCACTCCAAAAAAGCTCAGCAAGGCGATGCTGTATTTATTTGATCAAAAATACAGTAAAAACAGTATATAATATTATAACAATAATATTACCATTTTAGTATCTGTTTTCCTGCGTTATATATGAGCATGTCTACACTTTGTGGTATATTTCTGTATTTTTACCTCCTTGTCTGGCGAACTCATCTGCTTCATGATGCACCAGGTCAGTCACACATCCCCCATAATGCAGGCGTGACTCATGATCAAAAGCCTTCAGGGTCTCGCTGGAGCTGTAGGATTTCTGGGTGGGTACGCGACATTCGTCGTTGTCCAAGGAGGAGGTGGTGAACTGGAAATCTTTCCCACAGCGGCCGTGGGTCAGTGTACGGTGCCTACGCTCTTTCAGATCCATGACAGCTGTTGCAGCCTGATGATCCGATCAGTCCGCAAGGTGGAGGTCTCAACAGCTGGACAGTCCTTCACCTGGTAATACAAGACAACACCAATCAATAGAGTACAAAATATATATGCCCTGCTGAAACGACCAGCATGGATTGCTGGTTTAAGCTGGTTAGTGCTGGTTTGGTGCTAGTGGACAAATAGAGCCATAGCCAACATAGCAAATCTTATCCACGGAAGCTTTCTAGAGAATCGTACTAACTAAGGACATTTCAACAGCACCACAGCATCCAAAATATAGACACGAACAGAATCAGAAAGCTTTGCAGAATTATAAAGAATTACAACATAAATTATTTACACTCCGTTAGGTTATACACTCTGCACGTGTTCGCTTATGAAACATTTTCGCTAATTTGATTATGCTTTCAACCACCAAAAAGAATGTGGAAAAATAATTTTACCATGTTTTAGCAATCCACAGTTCACCACTGATTTTGTTTAAAGATGAGTACAGAAAAGGGGCTGCTAAAGTTTCATTCTATATACTAAAAAGAAAACAAAGCATATCATTCCGTTAATATGTCAAAAGGCTAAATTCTGCCTGTGAACTACATAAAAAAAATATGAAATGGAAACTTTGGCTGCATGGTGCATTCATAAACAAAACAGTGGAGAGACATCTAAACAAAAAGAAGCAGCTGTCATTACAGCCATAATCACAGATGAAATAGTGGAGCAGGAACTGAGACGTGTGGAGGAGTAAAGTCATGATGCCTGTGAAGAATGAGTGATAGAGTGAAAGCGAGGAGAAGAGGGAGGAGAAAGGAAATGACTTGAGGGTATTGCGAGTCTCTCCCTCATTATCGCAGACAGAGTGAGAAAAGCTCCCTCTGTGGCCGAGAGAGGATAATCACAGATGCCTGGATGTGCCGCTGAAAACAGGGAGCCAAACACAGCCCGGCCCGATCATATCACATGCTCACACACAAAAACACCAGCACTAATCTATTTTAAATACTATGCATACTAGCTGAGATGATATCCCAGTACCACCATAAGTTTTTTTTTTTTAATCTGAAGGTGCTTTTAATGTTAAAATACAATGCTAAATGAAACTACTTTAATTGTATTTTGGAGGTTTTAATACAAATGTGAATTAATATTATTATTATTATTAATATTATTATAACTCAATGAAACACACAGTATTATGTGATTAACTGTGATTTAATCATAAAAATTGGTTAGTATTTATTTATTTTTTATTTTTTGATTAACCATTTTTTTATGTGTTTTTTATGTGATTAATCACATTTGCTGTGACTAATTTAATCATTACCATAAGCACATTGCCATTCAAAAGTTTGGGGTAAGTAAGAAATTCATTTTTTAGTGAGCAAGGATGCATAAAAAATTGATTACAAGTGACACTAAGGACATTTATTATGTTACAAAAGATTTATATTTCAATTAAATGTTGTTCTTTAGAACTTTCTATTCATCAACTAATCCTAAAAACTGTATGACACATACACACACAAAATCAAAAATGATAAGATTAAATCTTTCTTGATCACAAAATCAGAATGATTTCTGGAAGATCATGTGACTGAAAAATTCCGCAATCATAGGAATAACCACATTTAAAAATATATTCAACTAGAATACTGTTATTTTCAATCATAATGTTACTGTTTTATTGCATTTTCAATCAAATAAATGTAGCCTTGGTGAGAAAAAAATGTATCCGTAAAATTAAACCATTACATAAATGTAGAATCAACATAAAATACTACTACTAATAACAATAATAAGCTGCTCCAGCTGCTCATAGGACATGTGTGGACAATTATTGTTTGGGTCATAACCAGGAAAGTCCTGGAGAGAGTGTCTGAAAGAGGGGTGCGTAATAAGCATAAACATAAAGCACAAAAAAAGAATGCTGAATTAATACAGAGCATGTAATCTCAAAAACTAAATATGTTCATTTTCTCTGCACAGTTTTTCATTATTATTATTATTTTTTATTCACCTGTCACTGTGCAACTCTTCAGAGCATGTGCACTACCCACAAAGGCAATGTTTCGGACACAAATGCCATTCTAACTTCAGACATGATTCCACGGTTTTAGCATGAAAGCGAGTTGACAGTAATTAGACACTAATTAAAAGTAAATTCACCCACACTAGTCCAGCTGCAGGCAGCCTTCCTCCACAAACTCTCACAGTTATTATACCTGAGCTGTCTTGAGTACATAGAACGTCAGGGGGAACTTTAGCCGGCCCCTCTGTGCCTGTCTGTTACTAAGTGCGGTCAGAACAAACTCTGCCTGCTCCTGTCCCCCTCAACAAGCGCTCTCCACGCTGTTCCACCTGCATTAGCTTGATTGGAGGAGAAGTCCACTGCCCCAGGGACAGTCCTGCATTCGGCGCGGAGAGGATGACTTTCCTGCACGGCAACAGATCATTACATAACAACGCGGCCACTAGCTGTCCCGCACATACTGAAAATAATTGAATATAATCAGGTCACCTAACATAATTATTTACTGTGAAACACTTGCATAAAAGAACAAGAGAGACAACGCGTGCGACACTGGCTTAATGCGGATTCATTAAAGGAGACTATAAGGTCATTTTAAGATTTGCCTCCGGTGTCTGTTGATTAGAAGCAGATATTTTATGTTTAGAAAGGCCTCATTATAGGCGAAAATAAAACATTCAATCACAGAGGCCATTAACGGTTCAGAATGGGAGTGTTTACTACGGCGAATATAAAACAGACAGAGCTTCAGATTGTGGAACGCAGAAAAAGTCTTTGCTTACAAATGAATGCCCAATTACCGTATATGTACATTCAAATATTAAACAGTCCACTTCAAGTCAAACATGTATTCTATTCATTGCATCTGACCTTTCTTCACTCTACCAGGCCTGCACTGGAAAGCTTTGTTGTGATGTCTGGAGTGGGTTATTTGGTCAGCCATTGGGCTGCAGGGGCCTTTCAGAACACTGATTTCAGGTGCAGTGACGGGGGTTTCTGCGAGAGCGTCACATGCAAGGGTGTGTGGGATGGAGGAAGGGCTGGCTAAAGGAGGGCCCTGGGGCTGCTCTAACACCACAGTGGTGAGATGATGCACGATGGTGTGGAGAAGAACCGGGTCAATATGAGCCCAGGCTGCAGCACAACCAGGTCAGTCTTTCCATTCATTACAGGCAGTAGAGGAGAAGTGAGGCCTCAGGGATCAGAGCAGATCCTGCCTCCCTTTCCTCAGGCTCAGCCCGCTGATTCTCCCCTTTCACAGGACAGCCATCCTCCCCAGAGAGAGTGATGGGGGATATGATGAAGAAAGAGCCATGGAAGGAAGAGGAACAACAGGATGGTGGAAGAATCTAGGACAAGTTATCTTTCTTTCTTTCTTTCTTTCTTTCTTTCCATTCATCTTATCTATCTATCTATCTATCTATCTATCTATCTATCTATCTGATTGTCAGTCTGTCTATCTATACATCTATCTGTCTGTATGTCTGTCTATCTGTCCATCTACCATCTATCGATCTATCTATCCATCCATCCATCCATCCATCCATCCATCTATCCGTCTATCTATCTATCCGTCTGTATGTCTGTGTATCTGTCCAGCTACCCATCTATCCATGTACTTGTCTATCTATCTATCTATCTATATATATATATCCGTCTATCTATCTATCCGTCGGTATGTCTGTGTATCTGTCCAGCTACCATCTATCTATCTATCTATCTATCTATCTATCTATCTATCTATCCGTCTGTATGTCTGTCTATCTACCCATCTATCCATGTACTTGTCTATCTATCTATCTATCCATCCATCCATCCATCCATCCATCTATCTATCCATCTGTATGTCTGTGTATCTGTCCAGCTACCCATCTATCCATGTACTTGTCTATCTATCTATCTATCTATCTATCTATCTAT